CAATTTTTCAGCCACACCAGTGGCTAGTGATTTGATCATCATGCCCTTAGAATGGAACCTCCATAAAAAAAGAAAAAACAGGGCCGGGGACTTAGCTCAGTGGTTTCGCCTCCTGCTGCGCAAAGCTCAAGGACACGAGTTCGATCTCCTGTACCAAAAACAAAAAAAAGAAAAGAAAAAACAAAGAACAGGTTTCGGTGAGCTTCTGGTTGGTGAACATGTTCACATGCTGGGTGGGTGGCAATCTAGAAACAGACTAGGAAGCTCTGTGCCTGCCTGCCCCTCCATACAAGGTGCTGTATGCATCTGCTGTGGTTTAGATAAGGGTCCTCCCAACACCGATTTGTTAAAGGCTTGGTCCCCTCCCGAGGTGATATTGGGAGGGGAACTTTAGGGCCTAATGGAAGGAAGTTAGGTCATTGGGGTCATGGCCTTGAATGGGATATTAGGACCCTAGCCTCCCTATTTCCTCTTTCACTTCTGGGCATGAGTTGAAGGCTTCCTCTCCATGCACTCCCACCGTGATGTACTGTCTTGCCACAGGCCCAAATGCAATGAGCTAACTGAACATAGACCAAAATCTCCCAAACTGTGAGCCAAACTAGACTTCTCCTCTTTAAAAGCTGATTATCTTGCGTATTTTCTCTCAGTGACAGAAAGCTAACACAGCGTCTCTTCCATTTGGCTGTTAGTGAGTTGTAGATTTTGTATTAAACTTGTCATCATAGGTAAATCACTCTCCTGTGTTCTGTGAGCCATTCTAGAGAGTTGCTGAACTAAAATTATTTCCTGCGAACCTCTGGATCCAGGCAGTAGAGTGGATTACCTGGAATCCCCATTTGCATTTGGCAGCTGAAGGGAGAGGCAGGCTTGTGGGGCTGATCCCTTAACCTGTGACATCTGTGTTCACTCTGGGAGTTTGTTAGAATTTAACTGAATTGTTGGACATCCAGCAATTGTTGGAAAATTGCAGAATATGTACAGAAAACTGGCATATATATGTAGTGTTAAAGGAAAACTACTCAGCTGTCTGAAATCATCCACACATATTCACTCTTTTAACCTTCGCAATAGTCTATGACTCCTGTGACTATTTTTATCTCCTCTTTACAAGAAGTATTTTAAAGCACAGAGAAGTTAATGACTTGTTTCAAGGTCACATAACCAGAATTTTACTAAGATAATAGGCAGGTCTCTACTTCATGTGTATCACCAATAAAAAATCATTTTCTTTCTTTAATTTTCCCTTAGTACTGGGATTTAAACTACAGACTAGGAAAGCACTGTACCACTGAGCTCCGGCTACAGCCGTTTTTGTTTTCAGATGGGGTCACACAGACTAGCCTTCAACTTGCAATCCTCCCACCTGAGACCTCCAAGTACCTCTGTTACACACATGTGTCACCGTGCCTGTTATGTGATGGCTTGTGCCTAGATGTTCCCCTAAAGCCTCATGTGGTCATAGTCTCTTTTGGAGGTGGCTTAAGCTAGAGCGTGTGGTTGATTCATGGTTGGGTTAGGAATGAGGGCGCTAGGATTAAGGGTGTGAGTGCTGCCCACCCTAGGGAGTCGGAATAAGGTAAAAGGGGCAGGGAGATGCTGTTAAGGTCCCATGTTGCCTTTGCTGCCTTGAATGCACCATGTTGTTTCTCCTCTGTGATGCCCCTCTGCCAGGCCACCCTGCCTCGGAGCCAGGATTATGGCCTGAAACCTCTACAAACTGTGAGCTAAATAAACCCTCTCTCCTTTAACTTTGGGTGCTGGATATTTTGTCTCAGCAATGAGAAAAAAGTAACTAACACAATGCCCAACTATAAAAATCATTTTCAGTGGCATAATAAAACATATAAAATACTTATATAAATGGAAATAATCATTATTTTGTATGATACGAGAACATTCTTAGTCAGTGTCGTCAGGCTTTACTGTCATTTGGTTGAGTGAAGTTGCTGTTTCTCCTTAGCCAAAGCACACAATAGAAATAGAGGTCTACATAGAAAGAAGGGTGAGTCAGGCAGACCTAAGAAGCAGCCCCACAATGCAGAGGTGCAGCAAGAATCACACAGTTCCTGCCATTGTTTGATACGGTATTGAATCTCTAACAACACAAATAAAACACCTTCTTTCTGAGGTTATTTTTATGTATTTAATTACTTATTTGGATTGCAAGTCTTTGCACAGCACTGCCTCAGTTGGGAAGGAGAAGAGCCCCATCACCGTGAGTCAAACAGGCTGGGTTTGTTGAATATTGAAGGCTGGTGTCCAGTGCCTCTCCAAGAGGAACTTCCTGCCTGCCTTCTTGGGGCATCATAGAAAGAAGCCAGTCACACACAGCTGTCTCTGGAAGTCGTCCCTTCAGCTCTTCTCAGCAACATCCAGCAGACCTGCTCCATCTCTGAGCAAGAAACTAGAACATAGCTCAGCCTCTGACCAATTGCATTCCCAGTGCTTCCCTGAGACTTTCTTGAAGAACAGAGTGGATTAGATGGACAGTAAACCCCAAGTGTTCCCCTGGGAGCAAGGATGAGTCACAAGCCAAGAAGACCCAGAAGTCCTTATCCTGGAGCAAGGCAGGATGCAAAGCCCCAGACTGATGGGTTCAAATAAGCATTTCGGGAGATTCTGAGGGTTGCTGTATGCACAGTAGTTTAGAGCAGTGTAAGCCCACACCCAGGAGCCCTGGGAGGAGCTGTAACAATAATCTAGGAAGACACAGGTTGCACCCCTGCACAACAGTGAAGATGGAGATAAGAAGAAAAATGCGGGAGAGACGCAAAGCACAGCATCCACAGGATTTGGTGTTGGATGGGTTAGGTGAGCTGTGGCTTACGAGAGACAGAACAGTTCAAGGCGTTTTTGGTTTGTGGATTGGGAGATAATGATCTTGTTCATTAAGCTGGAAATCATCAGAAGGGAGGTTTGCTGAATAAAAGCATAGGTGTTGAGGTTTATTTTGTAAGCTATGAGTTTGAGATGAGAATGAAACCCTTCCTTGGCTGATGCAATCTAATAAGCAGCCAAGTGTATCAATCAGGAGCTCAAGAAACAGATATGGGATTCATCTCAGTCAAAACCAGTTTTTGCAATCCAAAATAAACCTAGTCTAGGTACTGGAGAGACAGTAGTGGGCAAGACCGCAAGATTCCTCCTCTCATGAAGTTTGCATTAGCGTGGAGAGAGATGGAGTAAAGGAAAATAAGTAGGAATCTATTCACTTACGATAAGGAAGCAAAGAAGAGAAAGCAGAGCTAAATGATTGACAGTGTTGGGGGAGCTGCATTCGATTCGAGGGTCCCCAAGGCCCAGCTGGGCAGGGGCTCCTTAGCCATGGCATGGAGAGGTCAAAGTGCCAGAGAGGATGGATTGCCCAGGAGGGAGGCGGAGGAGAAGTGAGAGGGTAGCTGTGACAGGCGGGTAGGGACAGGCACTGGACCTTGCTGGAACTGGGCGGACTTTGGCAAATTATGTAGCTTCTGGATCCTAACTTCCTCACTTATATAATTGATGGGGGATTTAAACAATTTTTTTTGGTACTGGGGATCAAACTCAGGACCTTGTGCTTGTAAGGCAGGCGACAGAACCACTGAGCTAAATACCCAGTCCTAAACAATTTGTTTTATTAAGAGTTGTGAGAATTGGTTGAGAACATTATACAATTTAATGCACAGAACATTAAAAAAAAAAAAATAGAACCTTGAATATATAAATTTGGAGAAATCAGAACTCTTGGACCAGGGCATAGCGGCATCACTGCTTCTCGCCTGCTCCCCTTAATTTTTTAAAATTTAATTTTATTCGTACGTTTGAGGTACACAGTATAATGTTATTCATCATTGGAAATATGCACCTTTACATAATCCACTTTGGTTCCTATTTTTTCTCGCTTCCCCTACCCTCGGCCCTTCATTTTTAAGTTACTGAATCCTTGGGGAACCCACTAAAATTAAAGTTAGGATCTTCACAGTAACTTACCTCTAACCACATGGCCCAGCCCGTTCCCAGTCTCCTGTGCCTTCCCAGCCAAGGAACTTAGTACTCTGGAACACATTTTCATCCATTACCTTGTTTTCTTTTCATGTGATTTATTTGTACCCACAGACACAACAACACAAAAAGGATGTATTTTGCCATTTTAAAATTTATGAATAGGCTATTATACTTCATATAATCTCTTGCAAATTATTTTTTCACTTCTGCGCTGTTTTGATTCAGTTCACTCATTCTGGATTTTGAATACCAGGCCACTGAGCAAATATCTAATAAGCAATCATCCAGCTCCCATGTAAAAGACAGTTGGCTTGTCCTCAGATTTTACCATTGTGAGGAGTGCTCGAAGTTTCTAAGTTTTCAGTGGTTCATATTGGTGCTTATAAATGCTGTCAAAGTTATAAAAACAGTAGAATAATAAGCTTAAAATCAGAGCAAATTTATGTATACCTAGAAGAAGTAACTCCAACTGGCAACTGGCAGGCTGGCCCTTTCTGTGTGCAGGCAAGGTCAGTGGAGGTCCCTACCTGCTTTAGTCACTTTCCCATCACTGGAACAAAATACCTGACACTCACACTTTAAAGAGAAGATGTTTATTTTGGCTCATGGTTTCATACAGTTTAGTCCATGGTTGGCTGGCTTCATGGGAGATCCGGCATGGTGGAAATGTACAGCAGAGAAAAGCTGCTCAACCTACAGCAGCCAAGAAGCAGAGCAGAAAGAGAGGGAAGAGCCTAGGAAAAGGCACATTCATGAAGGGATCAGTCCACTAATAAGGCCAGAACCTCCATGATTCAGTCACCTTCCAGAAGCCCCACCCTTCAACACTTGAGACTCTTAGGGGGCACGTCAGTTCCAAACCATAACAACATCCGCTACACAGTGACTGACCACTTGGTCCGCAGTTCTAAACCAGACTCTGTCCCAGCAAGGGTAAGGATGAGCTCTGGTTGCTAACCCTGACCTGTGGGGATAATGTTGGCAAAAGAAACAAGAGGCTGTTGAGGCTCAGCAGGGAACTTTATTATTTGAAATACAGAAGAAGAGGGAGGGCCTGAACATTTGGAGGTAAATTCACGACCTTCCAAAGGAGCATCTCAGCCTCTCAGGGCCCCTGACAAGGAGGACAGGAGAAGGAGGGAGGGCGAGCAGGCAGGGGCAGGTTTTCTGCACGATGATTCCTCAGGCACTGCTTGTCTGAGGTCCTTGTGGCTCAGGTCAGCAGCAGCAACCAGAGCCTCCAGACTGCTGGCCACTGCCACCTCCACTGCTGCCACAGCAGCCACTGCCACCTCCACTGCTGCCACAGCAGCCACTGCCACCTCCACTGCTGCCACAGCAGCCACTGCCACCTCCACTGCTGCCACAGCAGTCACTGCTGCAGCAGCCAGAGCTCTGGTGTCGGTGTCGAAGTCGGAGAGATCGGCGGGGCTTGTGGTGGCTCAGGCAGCAGCCACCACCCCCAGAGCTGCAGCAGCCCCCAGAGCTGGAGCCACAGCAGCCGCTAGAGCCAAGGCTGCAGCAGGAGGAGACTGGGGGGCACTTAGGGGGACGCTTTGGGGGGCACTTGGGAGGGCACTTGGGAGGAGGCTGGCACTGCTGCTGGTTCTGCTGGTAGGACATTTTTTGAGAGGAAGTCAGCAAACCTAGGGAGAAATTTTCAAAACCATGAGGACAAGTCTCAAGCGGGTACATCCTTTACTCTGGATTTCACTGGACTCTCCTCCAAAACAAGCTACTTTGTGAACAAGATCTGTAGCCAGAATTGGGAAACTGGTATGAAATGAGATTGAGCACAATAAAAGCCAATCTCCCTCCCTCCCTCCCTCCCTCCCTCTTCCATTTCTTTCTCCCCCAATGAAAGATGTTGACCTTCATTCTACCTGAGCTCTAATACCGACCCCATAGGAAGGGCTGGGAACACAGCTGAGCCTACACTCAGAAGCCTTCCTCCAATGTGTCCTTTATTTTCACACATGTCTGCGGAGAGCCTGTCTCTGAGAACATTTACTTAAAATGACTATGCAGAAAGATGTGGAAGGTCCAGATGTCTGCAGTTCCACTGCTGTGGATGCACCACACACACACACACACACACACACACACACACACACACACACACACTCCTCCTAATGCAGTTGCTCTTCCTCCCTAACCTGGGACAGTTGCAGCCCCAGGAGTCGGCTTCCCTCCAGACTCAGGAGATTAAGACAAGTCAAGAGAGAATGTCAGGAACCAGACTGCAGAAAGACAAGCCTGGGCCTATGGCACCTGCGGGTTGACTCTCAACCCAGGAGACTCCTTCTTCTTTGTATGCCCTCTTCTGCCTGTCCCCCAGGGAGTCCTACAAGCCTCCTGCCTTGGCCTTCTTTGCCAAGCACTCACCTACTCAGTGGAAGCCTTAGGAGCCGTTGCTGGCTGAGGACTGAGGAAGCCAGGGCTGGGGAACCCCTTTTATCCTGGGCCTGGCATCTTCCCCAGGAGTGAGGCACAGCCTGTGTATGCAGAGCCCATACTTTGACAGCCAGCCGGAGGTGACTCTTCTCACATTCCCAAGCCTGGCGCTCCAGGGGCTACCTGGGCAGGGCCAAGAGGAATCCCGGAAGCTAGAGATTGTCCAGGTATCTGTTCACAGGCCTCCTGCAGGCCAGCCATTCCTCCTTCATCCATTCATTCACTCAATCATCAATGCAACACATATGTACTGTCTATCTCTGGGCCGTAACTTTGCAATCTATCAATGTCACACAGAGGCCATGGATTACTCTGAGCACCTCGCAGTCTTAGAGCATGAGGATGTAAGCAAATATTTTTTGTGCAGTTACTGTAGCTATCCTCCAGGGTAGTTTCACAGTCTTTCCAACCTATAAACCATTGAGAGTCAGATGTTTTGGTCACTTCTGGATTCCATGTGCTTGGTATAGTGCCTGGACCAGTAAACTCGGGAAGAAGATGAAGATCAGGAAAGGGAAAGGCAGGGGTTACGGAGCACTGAGGCAGGGATGCTGCCCATAATGTAGCAGCCTCTGGGTTCTCAGGATCCCTTCTGGTAAGGCTGATTCCCATGGAGGTAGTGTTATTTATGCTGGTACCAAATATTAATTCCTGAGTTATTTAAGAGCATCACTCTGTGGTAATGACAGTGGGTGGAACAAGACCAGCTGGACAGAGAATGGGCCCAGAGGAATCCACAAGGCATAGAAGCTAAGGCTTTGGGGAGCCAGGTGGCCCGCCCCTGGGGGCAGTAGGCAGGTGGATGGGACAGCGGCCTTGAGATGTGAAGGGGTTAGGAGAGAGATAAATATTAATTTGAAATTGGAAGTTCTAACAGGCTTTCTGTTCAGGGGGAAGGTGAAGGCTGAAAAGTGCTTGAGCATTAGAACATATTGTGTATGTTTAGGTAGATACTAAAGAGAAGAGAAAGAAGACATTGGTGGATTTTCAAGTTGACAGTAATTCAGCACCTCTAATTAGAACACAAGGGTTACATTGCTGTGAATATGGAATTCTCACTAAACTTAATGAGTTCATAATGTAATCAGGGTGGGTTTTTTTCTTAAATTCTTTTATTGGTACATTTTAGGTATACAATAGGTTTACATTTATCATTGGGTGCTTGTACCTGTACATGATGTATCTTGGTTATTTTTTTCCCCATTACCTGTGCACCCTTCACCCCTCCACCCTTCCCTATTTACGTCAAGGTGTTCTTTTTAAAAGAACAACTCCCTGATGGTATTTGCCAGGTTTTTATAAGAATATGGCAGGGCATCATCTAAAACAAAATGGATTGGCTTCTTGATAATTAAGTTACCACTTGATTAAATAAAAGTGGACAAATTTATTAACTGAGAGCATGCGTGCTGAAGGAGAAAAAGACACAATGAAAGATAAGAGATTTCAGTGTGTAGGGACTTGAGATATATTAGTCTGTTTTTCTTTTATTTTTCTTTTTACTGTAACAAAATGAGTATTCTTAAAGGAAAAGAGATTTGTTCTGGCTCACAGTTCTGTGGGTACAAGGCTTAGGGGTCTTGTCTGCTGATGTCCTTCTTGCTGGTGGAGTCCCAAGCAGTACAAAGCATCACATGGCAAGAGGAAGACAGCATGAGGTGTACACATGGCCTGTCTCCCTCTTTTCTTAGAGCCACTGGGATTCAATCGCTCGTGGGCTCTCCACTCTAATGACTATCCGATCCTAATCACTTGCCAAAGGGCCCTAGCATGCTGAGGAGAGTTTAGCAGTGTAAACTTTGCCTAATGTATTTTGAACTATAAAATAATTGGCATTAGAATTTTTGGAATTGAGAGGATACTCTTCAGTTCCCTTTGGTAGGAAATTTTATTTAAACTTGAGTTAAATAATGGGAAAGCACCTGGCCAGTGTTCCGCATGGAGTAGATACTTGGTGGATTTCACCTGTATCTGTGATAAACATCAATAAATAATATCATGTCTGTGCCATGAAGTGGCTCCATCAAATATGGTCCAGAAATAGCCTAGGAATGCGGGATTGTGCAATAATTGTAAGGTTGTAAACACTGTGTAATAGCAATATGTAGATCCTTTTTTATCTCCATTGAGAAAGTAGCTCAGATATTTAACGATGCAGATATTTAAAGATGAATGTTTTTTCTCCTTTCTTTATGATGTGAAAAATAGAACCACTAGAAACATAAATGTCCTCTGGGAAAATGATCTACAGCTCATGTGTTTAATGCAACATTTTTAAATACACATCATCATACTTTTGAACAGTGATGTATATACACATGCGTGTGTGCCTACAGTGAGTTCTATAATCAATTGATTTTGGGAAACATGAAGTTTTTAGGTTTTTATTTTGCTTTACTTCTTGCACTACTGAGGACTGAACCCAGAGCCCTCTTACTGAGCTACATTCCTAACCTTTTAAAAAGATTTTTGAGTCAGGGTCTCCCTAAGTTGCTAAATTGCCCAGGATAGGTTCAAACTTGAAATTCTCCTGCCTCAGCCTTGCATAATGCTAGGATTAGAAGTATGCACCACCACATGCACAGCTGAAAATAGGAGGTTTTTAAAAAGTCAAATTTCTGCATCAAGACTTTTCAGCTTCTTTATTATTTAATCACACACAGGACTAGTGGTGAAGGTTTTAACAAGGCAATGCTTCTAACAATGCACTGCCTCCTGATGTGTAGATACATACAAAAACCAATTCTCGCTCGTGAATTTTATGCTTTGAAAAGCATAATTTGAGAAACTGGGATCTAACCTCTGGGTTCCAGTAGTGTAAACTATAACTTTCAAATGATCTATTCCAATAAAAACAACCAAAATGATGCCATATATATGATAGATACGCACACACACACGCTCACAAATACTATTTAGGATAGGAATTACCAGCAAAAACTAAAGAGGAAATAGGCACTAAAGAGTGCCAGAGTAAGCTTCTTTTGCCCTAATAATAAAATCAGCACCATCAGCTTTTCTTTCCTCTTGGCAGCCTTGATTGGCGGGAAGTTGGGCAGGATGGGACATCCGACGGGAGGCCAGGCCAGAGCATACTGGGCTCGCTCTTGGAGTAGCTGAATCAGAAGACGCCAAATGCAGAGACTTGCTGCTGTGAACTTTGCCAAAGGTAACCCTAGGCCAGGGACCCACTGTCCTCCAGCAGAAACAGACACGAGGCATCTCTGATAGGTTCCACTCGCATCCTAGGCTTTCACTGGGTCTCACAGGCACAGTCTTAGGTGAAAAACAAACCCACTGTGCTCTCCTTTGCTGAGACGCTGCCCCTTTCTGGCTCAGACTGCGTAACAGGCTTCCCCTAGGTTGCCCCGAGCCCAGCCTCCTGTCCAAAATAAGCTGAGCATCTTTCCTCTGTGTTCCCAGAATGTCGGTGCTCCCGTTCCTATCATGTGCTGTTGGCTGTTTGACACCTGGCTTCACCAGCAGACTGGGAACTCCTCAAAGGCACAGGCCTGCCTTTTTTTTTTAGTGATAATAGGTCTTTTTTTCCTCTTTTTTTTTTCCCGTTAAGTTTATTGGTACATTTTAGGTATAAAATACAGTTACATTCATCTTTGGGATCTTGTACCATTACATGATATATCGTGGTTCTTATTTTTTCCCCATTTCCCTGCCCTCCCTTCACCCCCTCCACCCTTACCTATTTACAGAGACTTTGTTTCCATTTTTTCCTTTTCTCATATTTTTTCTTTTCCCTTCTTTCCCTTCCCCTACCCCTCCCACTTCCCCTGCTCCTTCAGACCTTTTCTTCCTATTTTCATCTTGGTCCTTCCGGCACCCAGCATGGGGTCCTGTACTCAAAGCATGAGTTCAAAGCATGTTTATTTAGTGAATGAAGAAACACTTCCTGCCACTGTGAGAACTGGGGAGGAGCGTTCCAGGTGTAAGGTTGGTGAGCCCTGTAAGGCCAAAGCCCACCTCTGCCGGGGTCTCCTGGCTCATCGCCAAGCTCTAACTCCCTGTCCACCAGGATGGTAAGAGCCGTGATGAGGGAGGCCCTGTCTGGAGAAGAACAGAGCTCTCTGAGAGCCTTTATGATGTTAACTGAGGCACCTGAGAGCCAAGCCAGGGGACCAGGGCAGGACAAGGAAAAGAGGAGGAAGCCACTGCAGAAAACCA